TGCTGCCTCCATCACGGCATCGGGAGGAGCAGGAGGCGTCCGCACCCACTCTCCACTCATCATCCTTTTTCCTGCCATTTCCGGATTCCTCGAGAGTCAGGCGCAATCTTCTATCTGCAGAGCCCCTGTCAGGCTGCTGCTCCCGTCGCGAGGGCAATCGCATCGAGGCTCGTGCGTGCTCGCCAGGGTGCTCTTGCCAAGTCGAGGGTCTGCCCACGGCGGGGGTGTCGCGGGAGGGGGGGCGCACTCGGCTCGGGGGAGGCCCGTGACGGCCGCGGCTGTTTCACGAGGTGACTGTCTCGTGACGCCAGCGTCCCCCAAGACCCTCCGAGTGGGGAGTCGACCACATCATCGATCTGCTCCAAGATGGTTCCTCCGTGGAATCTGTGAGAGATGCGTGGAGTGCTCCGTAGATCTGCGGAACATTCAAGCTTGGGGCAAGTCAGTTCCGTAGCCTTCGCTCCCCTCGCCCCACCTCCCTTCCTCCTCCCCTTCCTTCCCCTCACCTCAGGCACGCCTCTTGGTAACTGCCTCCAACGTGTCACCCTCGCCGCCAGCGCTGCCCGTCATGGCAGGCCCGTCTCACAAGTTCGCCATCCCCACGACTGGGGCGTGACGCTGCCGGGCGTCCGAGCAGGCCTTCTGCACAATTCTGCCGTTCATCCCCTGCGCGAGCCCTCGACGCCGTGGCCGTGTCACGGCGTGGCCTCCGGCCATCTGCTCGCTCACGCCGCTTGGAGCGCGTCCGGTCTGCGGCCCGCGCTGGCTCCGTCTTGCTGCGGTGGCGTCGTGCGGCTGCCGGAGGACACCACGACCTGCCCCCCCCACGGAGCTTTCGACCCCGTCCCGTCGTTTGTTGTTGTTTTTCTTGTTGTTGTTGTAATTCTTGTTGTTGTTGTTGTTGGTGATGAAGATGTTGATGATGATATTGTTGTTGCAGTTGCTTCTGTTGTTGCTGTTGCTGTTGTCGTTTTTGTTGCTGCTGCTGTGGTTGAACACTATTACTTCTAAAGAATTATTATTGTTGGACCCCCTGGTGCACGCCCCCCGCCCAAAACCTAGGCCGCAGCTACATTTTCATCATTTTTCTGCGAAAGCTTCAGAAAAGTGGATTACCCCCGGATCCGGTTTTTTGTTGACGCTCGTTTTCCCTTGCAAAAAAACAATAGAAAATGAAAATTCTTGTTCTTAGTTGATCAAAATTCAAGAATCCCTTGCAAAAAATAAGGTAAAGTGGACATTCGCGCTCGCAAGACGAAATCCTTCCAAAACCTTAGGTTTCGTAGCGATTTTAACATAAAAACATCAAAAACCTAATGGTTTTTTAAGAAAAAATTGTCAAAATGTCCTTCCGCGCGCTCTTGCGGATTCATAGGAAACACACCACTTTTTAAACATTTCTGTCAAAAGGGTCTTTTCGTGCTACTTCTTCAGGTGCTTTGAACTTCTCCAACAACGGTTGCGCGCCTGCGAGGGCCACCATCCCTTGCAAAAAATGAGACGAAGTGCACATGCGCGCGGCCGCCGCGCGCGCATGTCGAAATCCTGCCAAACACAATGGGTTTTCAATAATTTCAAGATGCAATGCATGCGTCATCCTTGGGACTGTATAACATCAGTGTAACACATGTACTTCTGTAATCGCATCCCCACGAATTTGCCCCAAAAATGTGACCAACTATCTTGGCACTGCGTACCATCTCACGTGTACCGTGTACCACATCATATGTAACAGATGTGATCAACCTCTGTGGGTGTGTACCCCACGCCAGAGTAGTAGCCAGGGTCGTCCGCACGCCACGAAGTGAAGTGTCCCAACGTCATAGGGCGGGAAGCTGGGTGTGGGTGGTCTCGAAGAGTCGTTTGGATTTTTGGTAGAGCTTGAACGGCCCCCCCACGAAGTGGGGGTATTGGCTGGTGTCGCAAGAAAACCCTGGCACTGGGGAGAACACTGAGCGTTCGGGTAAAATGATTACTGTTGTTGTTGCTGTTGTTGTTGCTGTTGTTCTTGTTCTTGTTGTTGTTGTTGTTGTTGTTGTTGTTGTTGTTGTTGTTGTTGTTGTTTCTGCTGTTGTAGTTGTCATTGTTGTTGGTGGTGCTGTTGTTGAGTTCTCATTCTTGAAGACTAATTCTTGTGGATTCCTCCCCACGGTGTGCATGGTGTTTTTTCCATTGAAGCGCCCCCCCAGGCCTCGAACCTTGTTTTTACGAGGGGAAGTCTTCCAGCTCAAACTGGGCCCCTGCCCCCCAGACAACAACAACGGTTCCCCCCCCACGGAGCTTTCGACGCCCCCCCCACCGAGCTTTCGACCCCGTTCCGTCTTTTGTTGTTGTTGTTGTTGTTGTTGTTGTTGCTGTCGCTTTTGTGAAGCTGTTGAATTGTCATTTCTTTGGAAGAATAATAATTGTTGATCCCCCCCGCCCGTGTATACTGTTTTCTCTCAGTCAAAGTGTGTCCCTCGACGCTCGCACCTTGTTTTTTGACAGGGAAAGTCTTGATGCTCAAACTTGGCCCCTGGCCTCCGGCTTACAACAACAACGGCTCCCGCTTGAGACTTCACAATTTAGCCAGGATCTCCGCTCCCGCCCGAGACGTCCTCGCATTTTATTCAGGAATCGCGATTTCGCTGGGGACTTCCTTAACATTTATTTCGAAATCGTTCTCCTGGCGCTCTAGAGTCGCGCTCTCGCTGGAGACTTGCTTGCAATTCATTGCAGAATAGCGCCCTTGCGTTGGAATTTGTTGCAATTTGCTCAAGCGCCGCGCTCCCGACACCCAGGCACCCAGGCGTCGCGCCCGTTGTGGCCACCATGTGCATGCCCTTCGTGGCCCCGCTGTCGCCGTTTGTGGCCCCTCACTGTCCTACGTGGCCCAGTTGCTACCCTCAGTGGCCCCATCGTTGCCTTCTGTGTCCCCGCATTATCTCCCCTTCGTGGCCCCCGCTCGTTCGCGCTCTTCGTGGCTCCATACGCATTCCCTTCGTGTCCCCGCTGTCTCCCTTCGTGGCCTACTTCGTGTCCTTCGTGGCCCTGCTGTCGTTCTCTCTCGCTCTCGCTTTCGCTCGTCGTCGCCGTCGTCGTCGTCGTCGTCGTCGTCGTCGTCGTCGGTCCCCTGTCCGTCCCTCTTGGGGTCGGGTCGACAGTCCGCGGCCGCCCCGCCGATCAGCGCTGCCGCTGGCCAGGCCGACGGTCCGCGGCCGCCCCGCCGCTTGCCAGGGCCCGGCCTGCAGGGAAGAAAGGTACACCCCCAAAAGGGGTTCGACCGAAGACGAAGAGGGCGGGTATCGAGGGTTTGGGAAATACGCGTTATTGGACACTCGAGCAGATAAGGGCGAACAGTCTTAAAATGTCTGTTGTTGTTGCTGTCGTTGTTGTTGTTGCTGTTGTTGTTGTGGTTGTGGTTGTTATCATTGCTGTTGTATGTTTGATACTGTTAACATTGCTGTTTTTGTCGTTGTCATTGTTGTTCTTGGTGTTGTGACTGTTATGATTGTTGTTATTGTTGTCGTTGTTGTTGCTCCTGTTGTTGTGATTGTTGTTGTTGTTGTTGTTGTTGTTGATGGTGTTGATGATCCTGTTGGTGTTTTTTGTTGTTGTTGTTGCTGCTGATCGTGTTGTCGTTGCTGTTCTTGTTGCTGTTGCTGTTGCTGTTGCTGTTCTTTTTGTTGCTGTAGTTGTCGTGGTTATTGTTGTTTTTCTTGGTGTTATTGCTGTTATAGTTAGGGTTATTGTTGTCGATGTTGTTGGTGTTTTCGTTGTTGATGATGTTATTGTTGTTATGGGCGTTGCTGTTGATGGTAATGATGATCCTGTTGTTGTTGCTGCTGTTCTTGTTGCCGTTGCTGTTCTTGTTGTTGTTATGGCTGCTGTTGCTGTTGCTGTTGCTGTTGCTGTTGCTGTTGCTGTTGCTGCTGCTGCTGCTGTTGTTGTTGTTGCTGTTGTTGTTGTTGTTGTTGTTGTTGTTGTTGATGATGATGATGATGATGATGATGATGATGATGATGATGATGATGTTGTTGTTGTTGTTGTTGTTGTTGTTTTGCTGCTGCTGTTGTTGTTGTTGTTGTTGTTGTTGTTGTTGTTGTTGTTGTTGTTGTTGAGTCGTAAGGGTTAAGTAAGTATTAGTGTTGGGCCTCCTACAGGTGCCCTGGCGCTCTCGCCTCAGCGCTGGCTACACGTCCTTTAGAATTTGGCTCACGCTCAGGCGTTTCGGGGCTGTGCCGAGACTGCCTCCCCAATAACAGCAACAGCAGCAGCAACACCAACAATAGTAGCAACACCAACAACAACAGCAACAGCACGACCACCAACAGCAACACCACCACCACCACCACCAACAACAACACCTTCACCAACAACATCAACAGCAGCCGCAACAACATCAGCAACAGCAGCGATCATCTTACCCGAATGCTTTAATATTCTACATATTTGCAGCATGCGTCTATCGTGATAGCTCCCCCTCATGGTGGGCCTTCTCTTGCACAGGGGGTCCGGCATTCCCTTGCCCGGATCTCTCGCCCGAGGAGGTCTTGACAACACCTCTTCCGAGGCACTTCAACATCGCCAGCCTGGATTGCACATCGCCTTCGCAATCGCCCTGCCCATGCCTTGCTTCTAGGTGTCACCACGCCCGAGGTGTCCCAAAACCTCTGGGAGAGGGGCCCGTTTCGGCGCACCCCAGAAACGCCTTGGCGTGAGCTTAATCTTCGAGAGAAATGCAGTGTGCCCCTCCTCCTCCTCCTCCTCCTCCTCCTCCTCCTCCTCCTTTCCCCTTCCCGTCCTCCTGATCCGCCTTTCTCCCTTCCCCTCCCTCTGTCCTCGCCCTCCTTCCGCTCCCTCCCGTCATCCTCCAAGTCCCCTCCTCCCTCCCTCCTTCCACCTCACTCCCTCTATCCCCCCCTCTTCCTTCCTTCTCCCCCTATCCCCCCCCGAAGCAGCGGGGCCCGAAGAAGGTCCCAGCGCGCCCGCGCGCCGCGCGGCCGCGCCACCGCGAGACCGCGCGCGCGCGCGGGGGCATGCGGCCGAGCGGGCGCCAGCCCGCAGCGGCCGCCCGCGCGGGGCGGCAGCCCGCGCCGGCGAAGGCCCCCCCCCAGGGCGGCCGGACGGCGGCGGCGGCGGCGGCGAGGGCTTCGCCTCGCTCCGTTTTAGGAGTTCCTCGTTCTCCTCTTCTTCCCTCCTTCCTCCCTCCTTCCCTCCTCCTTCCAGGCGCACCTCCGATTGGATGCCCGCAGCGCGCTTGCCCAGAACGATGGAGTTCCTCATCTTCCCCCCTCCTCCTTCTGCTCCTCCTCCTCCTTCTCCTCCTCTTCCTCCTCCTCCTACGTCTCCTCGTCCCCCTCCTCCTCCTCCTCCTCCTTCTCCTCCTCCTCCTCCTCCGTCCTCCACCCTCCATCCTACAACCTCCACTCTCCATCCTCCATCCTTCATCTTCCATCCTTTAATCCTCCGTCCTTTTCCTAAAATAAAATAAAAAAATAAAATGTTTAAATCGGCATCTTCCTCCTCCACCTCTTCTTCTTCCTCCTCCTCCTCTTCCGTCCACCGCCCCATCCTTCTTTCCTCCTCCTCCTCATCCCCCTCCTGTTCTTGCGTCTCCTCGTCCCCCCTCCTCCTCTTTCCTGGAGCCTGGAACGTGGTGGCCTATAAGACTCGTTGACTGCCGCCCCCATCCTTCTCCTCCTCCCTCCTCCTCCTCCTCCTCTTCCTCCTTCCTCCTCCTCTTTCTCCTCCCCTCCTCTTCCTCCTCTCATTCTCCTCCTCCTCCCCCTCCTCCTCATCCTCTCTCCTCCTCCCTCCTCTCTCCTCCTCCTCCTCCTCCTCCTCCTCCTCCTCCTCTCCTCCTCCTCCTCACCTCCTTTCTCCTTTCCCTTCTCCACCCTCCTCCTTGTCGTCATTGTCCTCTCCCTCCCCTGGCCTCCCTCCCTTCCCCCCCTCCCCTCCCCTCCCTCTCTCCCTCCTCGTCCTCCTCCTCCATCCTTCTTGTGCGTCGCGTCGCGTCGCGTCGGGCCGGCGCCCCTCGCGTCGCCTCGCCTCGCACGGTGCGGTGGTGCGTCGCGTCGACGCGCATCGCGCCGCAGGTCCTCGCCTCGCTTCTGCGAAGCTCGGAGGTGCGCCCCGTCGTCCTGCAGAGCCCGTCGGGGCTCGCGGGTACAGGGGCCGACGTCGCCAGTGCTGGGCGCTGACACTACGCCGTTCGTGGCGCCAGCGGGAGGAAGCAGCGGCGGACCTCCCGCCGCGGGCGCCGCCGGCCCCCGTGCACCCGCCGCGCGCCATGGGGCGCCCGCTTGTGGCGCTGCTGTCGGGCTTGGCCCTCGGGAAGGGTCACGTGGCGGGTGCCTGCGCGGAATTGTGGTGGCCAGAGCATGGTCGTCATGAAGCGCAGGCTGGTCCGGTCTGCAAGGCCGCGCTGGGGGCATCCGTTGTTTCAGGAGGGGGGCTCGGGCCATCTGTCCGAAGCGTGTACCCCGCTGCGCGAGTTGCAGGGGGGCGTGCTGCGGGCAGGGGCGGGCGCGCGAAAGCAAGCGGCCTTTGAGCGACACGTTGGGCGTGGTGGAGCTGGCAAGTGCCGTTGGGTGGGCCTGACTGTGCGGACATGGGGATGCTGGCCAGGGTGGACCCAGGAAGAGTCCGGCAAGGCCGACGGCGGCGGCGGCGACGACGCTCACGTCGTCGCCGACGTCTTCGTTTCGCAGGCTCTTGGGCGTTTCCCTTGGTTTCGAACCCCAGGGGATTGAGGTCGAAGTGGGCGGAGGTTTTCGAGCCTGTCCTGGATTCGCCGGCTTTCCCCAGCTTCGCACCGCCTATGAGCACACCGGCTTCCGGTGCCTGAGGCCGCCAGCGCGCTCTTCAACAAGCAGGCTCTCCACGTCTGAGTCGAAGAAGAAAACAAGCCAGAAACATAAACTTTGGCGATCCGCGCGGATTTCCTGGATCTGCGGTTGAGCGCCCCCTGGCGCGCCAGGGCCCCCCTCCTCCCTGGCGCGCCCCGCGCGCCAGGGAGGGGCGCGCGGGGCGCGCCAGGGCCGCGGCGCTGGGCCCCCCTCCCTGGCGCGCCCCGCGCGCCAGGGAGGGGGGCCCAGCGCAGATCCAAGAAATCCACGCGCACCGCCACAAGTTTATGTTTCTGCTGTTCTTGCCGTTCCTCTACTGAGGCCTCTTCCCTGCCCCCCCTCTGCTGCGGCCGCCCTCCTTTCCTCCCTCTGTCTCAGGTTGCCCACGGCCCGGCGCGGCCCGCGGCCTCGCTGCTGGAGCGCGTCAGCGTCCGCGCTCGCCGCCCCGACAGACCCTTTTTTTACTTGCGGGGAGGGGTGGGTCACCACCCGCCAAACCACCCCAACCCAACCCGAAGGCTCAGATTCACCCTCGATTTCCAGTGGGGGGGGGGGTGTCGGGAAACATCGACAAAAACACATGTGGAACCCTTACCCCCCCCAACCCGAAATTCGGGTCTTCGGGTTGGGTTGGGGTGGTCTGGTAGGTAGTCAGGTGGGGGCTTCGCGCCCGCCTCTTGCGGGCCTCCGCGGCGCTCGTGACTCCTGCCCGCCGGCGGCCCCCTCCGAGGTCCGACGCCGCGAGCAGCTGCAGCAGCACCGACAGTCACGGCCGGAGCCAGGCGCGAGGAGGCTGCAGGCCATGCCGGCGGCGACGCCCGCACCTCTCTGCCTCTAACCTCGCTGCGCGCTGCCCTGAGAGCGCACGAATCGCTGGGGGCATCCCGACCCCCAGTGCGGGCTCTGTCCCCCGGGGGGTGGGCACATGCAGATGTGCTCCCAGGCACACTCACGCCTTCCACGCCAGGACCCGATCTCTCCGCGGCGTCCTTCGGCCGCAGGCCCGCAGGAGTGGGCCCCTGGGCACGAGTGCCCTTTTGGTCCGGGGCCGATCGGGGGCCGCGGGGAGGCCAGATGCAAGCGCGCAGGCCAGCTTCAAGCGTCCGCTCTCGCTGCTGACAGGCATGGTTTTGTTTGGGAGGATGCAGGACGAGGAGGAGGAGGAGGAGGAGGAGGAGGAGGAGGAGGAGGAGGAGGAGGAGGAGGAGGAGGAGGGAGGAGGACGAGGAGGGAGCAGGAGGAGCAGGAGGAGGAATAGGAGGAGGAGGACGATGAGGAGAAGGAGAATGGATGGTTATGGTGGTGGTACGGGTGACGGTGATGCTTACTGTGATGGTGATGGTGATGGTGATGATGATGATGATGATGATGATGATGATGATGATGATGATGATGATGATGGTGGTGGTGGTGGTGGTGATGGTGGTGGTGGTGATGATAATGGTGGAAGTGATGATGATGATGATGATGATGATGATGATGATGATTATGATTGTGGCGATGATGGTGGTGATGACGGTGATGATGGTGGTGGCGGTGGTGAGTGTGGTGATAATGATGATAATTATGTTGCTGATGATGGTGATGATGGTGGTGGTGGTGATGGTGATGATGGTGGTGATGATGATTATGATGCTGCTGCTGCTGCTGATGATGATGATGATGATGGTGATGGTGGTGATGACGATGATCATATGTTAATGATGATGGTGGTGGTGGTGGTGATGGTCGTTATGATGGTTGTGATGATGATGGTAGCGTCCGCTCTCGCTGCCGGATCGCCGCCGAAGTCCTGGCCGAGGCGCGTCCCTGGAGAGGCCCACGGGGGGCTGGCCTCGGCGCCCTGGCGGCGCGCCGGCCCAGACGCACCCTTCGCGCATGGAGGGTCGGCCCAGGGTTTGGGCGGACTTCTTGTTCGAGCATTTTTCCCAACCATCCTGTGGTGTTGGGTCCTCGTTTTGAAGAGACGGTGCCCCGCGTTCCCGCCTCCTTCCTCCCTCCCTCCTCCCCCCTCCTCCCCCTCCCACACCAATTTCGGTACACCCTTCACACGTTTCGTTGCCCCATTGGGAGCTCCACCGACGGCCCCAGTGGCTGCGTTCGCTTTTGCGGCGGCGCATGCGGTTCCACTCCCCATTTCGGCACACCCCTCACACGTTTCGTGGCCCCGTAGGGAGCTCCACCGAAGGCCTCGGTGGCTGCGTTCGCTTTTGCGGCGCATGCGGTTCCACCCCCCATTCTGGCACACCCCTCACACGTTTCGTGCTCCACGGAAGGCCCCAGTGGCTGCGTTCGCTTTTGCGGCGCATGCGGTTCCACTCCCCATTTCGGCACACCCCTCACACGTTTCGTGGCCCCATAGGGAGCTCCACCGACGGCCCCAGTGGCGGCGTTCGCTTTTGCGGCGCATGCGGTTCCACTCCCCATGTCGGCACACCCCTCACACGTTTCGTGGCCCCATAGGGAGCTCCACCGAAGGCCCCAGTGGCTGCGTTCGCTTTTGCGGCGCATGCGGTTCCACCCCCCATTTCGGCACACCCCTCAAACGTTTCGTGGCCCCATAGGGAGCTCCACCGACGGCCCCAGTGGCTGCGTTCGCTTTTGCGGCACATGCAGTTCCACCCCCCATGTCGGCACACCCCTCACACGTTTCGTGGCCCCATAGGGAGCTCCACCGAAGGCCCCAGTGGCTGCGTACGCATGGCGGCGCCGCACCCATTTCGGCACACCCCTCACACGATTCGTGGCCCCATAGGGAGCTCCACCGAAGGCCCCAGTGGCTGCGTTCGCATGCGGTTCCACCCCCCATGTCGGCACACCCCTCACACGTTTCGTGGCCCCACAGGGAACTCCACCGAAGGCCCCAGTGGCTGCGTTCGCATGCGGTTCCACCCCCCATTTCGGCACACTTCTCGCACGTTTCGTGGTCTGAGGCGGCACCACCGAATGCCGCAGCGGCAGGTTCGGCATGTCGGTGTTGCCCCATGTCTGTACACCCCTCACACGTTTCGTGGCCCCATAGGAAGCTCCACCGAAAGCCCCAGTGTCAGGGTTCGCATGGCGGCCTTGGGCCATTTCGGCACACCCCTCACGAGGATCGTGGCCCCATGGGAGCCCTACCGACGCCGCCCGTGGCAACATCCTTCATGGCTCTCAGAGCCCTCTCCTGCTTCTGCTCCTCGGTCAGGGGGACGCCGTCCTCGTCGTCGTCGGCGCCCGCGAAGACGGCCACGAACGTGTCCCTGAGCATGTCGGGCCCCGGCGGGGAGCCGTGGCTACATAGGGAGCGCGCGCGAAGATGGTATTCACAATTGCGGTATTCACAACTGCGTATGGTTGGGTCCTTCGCCAGGCTAATTTCCCAACCATCCTGTGGTGTTGGGTCCTCGTTTTGAAGAAACGGTCACCGCGTTCTCCCCTCCTCCTCCTCCTCCTCCCCCTCATCCCTCCCCCCCTCCGCGTCAGCCACACCCACTTCGGCACACCCCTCACACGTTTCGTGGCCCCATAGGGAGCTCCACCGAGGGCTCCAGTGGCTGCGTTCGCATGGCGGCACCGCGCCCATTTCGGGACACCCCTCACACGCTTCTTGGCCCCTCTGGAGCTCCACCTAGTCCCAAGTGGCTGCGTTCGGCATGGCGGCCCACCGCGCGAATTTCGGCCACAAGACGCCCTCACGATGATCGTGGCCCCATAGGGAGCTCCACCGAGGGCTCCAGTGGCTGCGTCGCTGGGCGCAACCGCCCGTCGCCCTATTTCCGCACACCCCTGCCCACTTTCGTGGCCCCATAGGAGGCCCCAACCGAGGTCCCCAGTGGCTGCGTTCGCATGGCGGCACCGCAACCCATTTCGGCACACCCCTCACAACGTTTCGTGCCCAATCGGGAGCTCCACCGATGCGTCAGTGGCTGCGTTCGCATGGCGGCACCGCGCCCATTTCGGCACACCCCTCACACGTTTCGTGGCCGCATAGGGAGCTCGACCGAGGGCCCCAGTGGCTGCGTTCGCATGGCGGCACCGCACCTATTTCGGCACACCCCTCACGAGGATCGTGGCCCCATAGGGAGCTCCACCGAGGGCCCCAGTGGCTGCGTTCGCATGGCGGCACCGCACCCGTTTCGGCACACCCCTCACGAGGATCGTGGCCCCATAGGGAGCTCCACCGAGGGCCCCAGTGGCTGCGTTCGCATGGCGGCACCGCACCCATTTCGGCACACCCCTCACACGTTTCGTGGAGCTCCACCTCGTGGCTGCGTTCGCATGGCGGCACCGCACCCATTTCGGCACACCCCTCACGAGGATCGTGGCCCCATAGGGAGCTCCACCGAGGGCTCCACTGGCTGCATTCGCATGGCGGCACCGCGCCCATGTCGGCACACCCCTCACCTGGTTCGTTGCCCCATAGGGAGCTCCACCGAGGGCCGCAGTGGCTGCGTTCGCATGGCGGCACCGCACCTATTTCGGCACACCCATCACACGTTTCGTGGCCTCATAGGGAATTCTACCGAGGGCTCCAATGGCAGCGTTCGCATGGCGGCACCGCGCCGATTTCGGCACACCCCTCACACGTTTCGTGGCCCCATAGGGAGCTCCACCGAGGGCTCCAGTGGCTGCGTTCGCATGGCGGCACCGCGCCCATTTCGGGACACCCCTCACACGTTTCTTGGCCCCATAGGGAGCTCCACCGAGGGCCCCAGTGGCTGCGTCCGCATGGCGGCACCGCACCCATTTCGGCACACCCCTCACACGTTTCGTGGCCCCATCGGGAGCTCCACCGAAAGTCCCAGTGGCTGCGTTCGCATGGCGGCACCGCACCAATTTCGGCACACCCCTCACACGTTTCGTGGCCCCATAGGGAGCTCGACCGAGGGCCCCAGTGGCTGCGTTCGCATGGCGGCACCGCACCAATTTCGGCACACCTCTCACACGTTTCGTGGCCCCTTAGGGAGTTCCCTCTCATTCGTTCAACCTGCTTTGCGGTACTCGTAACTGCATATGGTTGGGTCCGTCGCCAGGAAAAGTGTGTGTGTGTGTGTGTGTGTGTGTGTGTGTGTGTGTGTGTGTGTGTGTGTGTGTGTGTGTGCGTGCGTGCGTGCGTGCGTGCGTGCGTGCGTGCGTGCGTGCGTGCGTGCGTGCGTGCGTGCGTGCGTGTCGTTTTGTTGTTATGGCTGTGTTTTTCGGTCCATGTGTGTGTGTGTGTGTGTGTGTGTGTGTGCGTGCGTGCGTGCGTGCGTGCGTGCGTGCGTGCGTGCGTGCGTGCGTGCGTGTGTGTGTGTGTGTGTGTGTGTGTGTTTTTGGTGGAAATCGATTGTCAAGCGCTGCTGACAAGCCCCAGTGCCGTCAAACACTCGGATTCACAGCACAGAGGCGAAGCTAAGTTAGACTCCCCGCGTCCCACTCCTCGCTTCTTAGCTGCGTGCGCGCCGCATGCCTGTTGCCGTCTTGGGCGCAAGGGTGGGACCGCTGGGAGCTGTTTTCGGGCCCCAGTGCCTTCGAAACCGTGTTCCGGGCGAAGAATTTCGGCTCCCGGGGGTTGTTTTCTGGCTTCAGCGCCTTCACTAACATGGCCATGGCGAAAGATTTTGGCTCTTGGGGTTGCTTTTCTGGCCCAGTGCCATCAGAAAAGGGCCCTGGGCGAGAAGCTGCTTCCCCGGGAAAAGGGTCGGGAACCCGGGGGCCCGTGGATTGACAAGATCACATCGTCGCATGTCTGGGTGGGCGTTTCTGGAGGTTCGCGCCGCCAAGTGTGGCCAGAGCTCGAAGGACTGGCCAGGCGGCCAGGCTGGACCCTGGCGGCCCAGCGGCGGCGAAGACGACGACGGTGACGACTCGACCACACGCAACAGTGACCCTTCGCTGGAGCGACCTGTGGTGGGGTGCGGGCCCACTGGGATCCCCTGATCGCTGACTGCGATGCGGGGGCGGAGGCTGCTCGTTTGGGATTGCCCTCCCCCCTCCCTCCCCGAGCCCCTCTGAGGCCGCACACCCAACGTCACTCTTGCCTACGGTCACTCTTGTTTGTGGCCGAGGCGACGGCGTCGACGGCTCTGTTTCGGAGGCCCCTGGGCGTTTCTGGAGGTTCGCGCCCCGAAGGCTGGACGCAGCCCGAAGGACTGGCCAAGCTGGACCGCGGAAGGGGTCTGGGGGCCGACTTTGAGCGAGTGTTGGCCGCACGACGACGCGTACGACGCCTACGACGACGAGGCATTTGGATTTTTTTTGTCCTTTCTGTGCCTACCTCGGGGACCTCCACGGACTTGTGAACGCCTCCAGCGACCTCCAGAGACCTCCAGAGACGTCCAGAGACCTTTGGAGGCTCCCTGGCTCTCCTGGTCGGCCACGGCAGCTTTCCCTCCTCCTCTTCCTAATCCTAATCCTAATCCTAATCCTAATCCTTCTCCTCCTTCTCCTCCTCCTCCTCCTCCTCCTCCTCCTCCTCCTCCTCCTCCTCCCCCTCCTCCTCCTCCTCTCTCTCCTCCTCCTCCTCTCTCTCCTCCTCCTCCTCCTCCTCCTTTTCCTCCTCCTCCGACGACGACGACGTCGCCGATGACTACGACGACGATGACGACGACGACGACGGCGACGACGGCGCCGGCGAAGGCGCCCAGGGGCGTGCCCGTCTGGCTGGTGCTGACCCTCGGCGGCGCCCTGCCCGTCGCGGCGCTCGTCACGGTGCGGCTCTACCTGGAGCTGGGCCTCGGGCCCGGAGGAGGGCCAGGACGGCCCAGCCGTGGCAAGGCGACTTTTCGCCCCCCCCCCCCCCCCCCCCCCCCCCCGCCGTTTCGACGACGAGTGATCGGGACGACCGAGATGGGTACCCGTCAGTCGTTGAGAGTCGGTATCCTCGGGGTCCCAGATTCCAATATACTTTCGGCGCCTTCCTGCTTCAATGATCGAGTGGCTTCACTTTTTCCGTCCCCCACAGGGGGCGGACGGAACCCAATCTGCTTTCAACGCCTTCCTACTTCATGTTTCTACCTATTTTTTCTGGCCGATGGGTACGGAAAGAATGGGCACAAAGACCGACAGCATTTCCTGTTCGTTTTGAGCAGGCCTCGCTGCCGGTGTCGCCGCGGACGTTGTCCCTTTGAGACAGACGGCCGCCTGCCCAACAGTGGCCGCTACTGGTTTTGGACCTCATCTGTTCTTGGGCATTGTGCCCACCTTTTCCTTACCCATTTAGGGCGTTCCAAAAAATAAAGCCGCTCAGAAAAGGGGGGAAGTCGGGGATACACCCCAAGGGGGCTACACAGTCGTGACATAGTTCCTTCGAATTGCGATGGTGATGATACCTCGCACCCCTCTGAATATTCCTGACGTGACATGACGACTGCGTCATTCGGCGGGGTATTTCCGATCCGAGTAATGCTTAGAACTCTGGTACCCCAAAACCGGATCGGAAACTACTCCGCGCCAAACCTAATGAACTACCAAGCGGGATGCGCCCACACGCGGATCAGTTGGAGCATTTCTACTCCGAACTACTCCGCGCTGATGCGCTATTGGCGAAACTTCCCAAAAGCAAGGGACCTGAGTGCGCTTCAACTCGTGCCTCAGGGCACGGTGGCTGATATACCTTAGACGTGCATGCATATACATACATGTGTACATTTACAGGTATGTAGGTATATGTATGTATGTATGTATGTATGTATGTATGTATGTATGTATATGTATATATATAAGTATGTGCACAATGTGGAGGTGTGCATTATAGCTATGTCCATAGCACTTACACATACCTTTGTGTACTTACAGAAGTATACATCTAGTTACATGTTCGTATGTATGTATTTGGTTGAAAGCAAACAGTCACCACCCGTAACTTATTACACAGTGAGAGGGTGAGAGAAAGAGAGCGCGAGAGAGAGAGAGTGATATGTATATCTACATATACATATATATACACATATATCTACGTATGTATATATATATATATATGTATATCTATATATAAAGAGAGATGCAACGACACATATAAATATGATAAGGGTTGGAGTGAAGCAGGCAGATGGAAGTGAGGGAGGTGGAATGAGGTGCAGGAGGGAATGGACTGGAAGCCGTGGAGGTGTAGTAGTAGTAGTAGTAGTAGTAGTAGTAGTAGTAGTCGTAGTAGTCGTAGCAGTCGTAGTAGTAGTGGTAGTAGTAGTAGCAGTAGTAGTAGTAGTAGTAGTAGTAGTAGTAGTAGTAGGAGTAGTAGTAGTAGTAGCAGTCGTGGTGGTGGTGGTGGTGGTGGTGGTGGTGGTGGTAGTAGTAGTAGTAAGTAATAGTAGGAGGAAGAGGAGGATGAGGAGGAGGAGGAGGATGAGGAGGAGAAGGAGGAGGAGGTGGAGCAGGAGGAGGTGGTGGAGCAGGAGGAAGAGGTGGATGATGAGGAGGAGGAGGAGTAGGAGGAGGAGGAGGAGGAGGAGGAGGAGGAACGTGCGAGCGGACGAGGCAGGGACCCGCGGAGGATGGGGCGCCTCCGAGCGCGTGTCCTCCTGGAGCCACGCGGAGAAGCTGCGGGCGCTGGGCATCCAGGTGAGCTGCGGCGGCCACACCGCTGACAGCTGCGCCGAGTGTCCGCGAGGCCACGGCGAGACCTGGTGCAACGGCGAGTGCGGCTGGAAGCGCGGCTGGTGGTCATCATCGTACAGAGCCCCAGATCTCTGACGATGTGTTCTTAGCTAATCCCTGCGTTTCTCGTCGATTCTGGTCCCTGGGGCCCGTCGTCGGGTCCCGGGGCCACAGACACGGATCCGACACGAAAGAACTACTCTTGGGGAAGGGGTCGGGTCCATTTGGGGTCTGGCGCATCGAAAACGTCCCATCGTCGGATGTCTGGGACCATCCCCAGTCCCCATTGGGAGAGGGCAAGTTCGCTCTCCCAGCGTGCCAGCGTGCCCTCCCCTAGGTCGGGAAAGGGTGCCGCGAAGCCCTGATGAAGGAGATGGCGCGACTCGCGCATCCCCGCCAAGAGGGGGGGGGCAGGTCGGCTGGTGGGGCCAAGGTTCTCTCCAGTGGGGGTGGGGATGGTTTCATTTCTCCAGCGGCGGTCCCTTCGGGCTCGACGACTCTTCTCCAATCGACTTGCTGGGATCAGGCTAGACCTAAGTCGGGCATGTCCCTCTACAGGAGTCATGTTTCAAAAAAGGATCCCAACATAGTCTGGGGACGACTTCTCGACTGTGTTGACTCTTTGGGGGATTTTCTGATCATTTTTTATTTTTCTTCGAGGATCCGCCCGTAGGAGAGCATGCCCGACCTAAGGCTAGACGCATCGAGCTGCCTCTCGGCGCAGGCCGGTGGGGGCCCAGACAGCTCGGGTCAACGCCCGCCGGGAGCCAGCCGTGGAGGCCTCCCCGCGCGAGTCGAGGGGCAGCAGACGTCGTGGAGCCCTCCGCGCCAGGTGGGGAGGCGCCTGCGTCTGGAGGGGGCTCGGCACCCCGAACGGCGCCCCCGCCGGGCGCGGCCGAAGGGGGCGGGGGCAGAGGGTTCCCAGACCCCCTAGCGTTGTGAAATGATCACGATCACGATCACGGCGGGGAGTTTTTCGCAATTTTCGGCTTCTGGTGGCCCTAACTGGCCCTCGGGACCGTCAGAAAACAACGCAGGACGAAGAACTGGTCCCGGGGAATGGGTCCAGACCGCTGGGGGTCCGTGTCATGAAGAATCCACGACGTCGGGGGTCTGGGTTTGAGGGTAGGGGGGGCCTCTGAGAGTCAGGCGAGGGCGAGTTGAGACAACGGCAGGAGAAAACGCCATAAACATAAACTTTTGGTGCTCCGCGCGATTGCCTTGGATCCGCGCTGGGCCCCCTCGGCGACGCCTCTGGCGCCGCCCCTGGCGCGCTCCGCGCTCGAGGGATTTTTTTTTTTTTTTTTTTTTTTTTTTTTTTTTTTTTTTTTTTTTTTTTTTTTTTTTTTTTTTTTTCTTATATATTATTATATATATATATTCTTTATATATTATTATCTTATATTATATATATATAATTATTTATTATATACACTCATATATACATATATATTTATGTATGTTTTTGTTTTTTGTTCATAACGTGTAATTGAAAAAAAAGTGACATGCACAAAAAGCTCAAGTCGCCCTGCTCATAGCGAGGGCTGGGGCGCTCTTGTGCTTCTGGCCTCTGGCTGGGCCCTCTCCGCCGCCGTGGCCGCGGCCCCGGGGCGCGGCGCGGGGCACAGAGGCCAGGGAGGGGCCCCCGGGAGGCGCCGCAGAAGGACAAGAGCGGCATGAGCAGCAGCTCTCGGAGGCCCGCATGGCTCCTCCGGATCGGCGTTGAGCCCGCCTCCCTTCGTCGGGGGCGGCCAAGAGGGGGGTTATGACTGAGGGGTGGATGTCATGGCGGGGCCATGATATCTCCCCAGATTTCATGGCGCCTCTTCTTATTTCAATGCATCCCCAGCCCCCCCTTTGAGCCGCGCACATGCCGCCGGCCATGATTTGCGCCCCCCCCTCTTAGACGCCCCCCTCTTGGCCGCCCCGATTCGGGCGTTGCCAGAAGTGCCCCTGGCCCATGGTGCTCCCAGGATTTCCAGGGAGGCCCCCATGGCCTTCAGAGCACCCCTCACGATGCCCAGGGGGCCCCAGGGGCTCAAACCTGGGGCCCCGTGGGCATCGTGAAGGGGCCCCAGGGGGCCCCAGGGGCTCCAAACTTGAGCGCAAATCTGGGGGCGCCTTTTGCCAGGAGCACCTTTTAGCAACCCTCGATCCCTGGCGCGCTTTGCGCGCCAGTGGCGGTGCTAGGGCTCTAGACCTCCCAGACCAGACGGGGTCGGAGTAGATGGGATCGGAGGATCGCGCCGCGCATCGCCGATGCATCGGCGATGCGGCTCGATGCGGAGCACGATTTTCTCTGAGCCGACGTCGCCAATGCATCGCCGGCGTCCCTGGTTCATCGCCAATGTATCGGCGATAAATTGGCGATGCATCGGCGATGCATTGGCGATGCGGCGCGATCCTCCGACCCCAACTACTCGGACCCCATCTAGGAGGTTAGTAGAGGCGCGGCCAGGGGGGCCTGGCGCCGATCCAAGACATCCGTGCGGCCTTCCGAAAGTTCGTGCTCGTGCCGTCCTGTGCAGCTGTGCGGTCCAGAGCGTCTGCCACGTCGTGTCGCGCTTTTTTGGCTGTGGCCCACCGCGCTTCGGCGCGACCAGCCGAGCACGCCCCAGTGCCCTGGCAATAAGTCGGGCACGTCCCTCGACAGGAGGAATACCCCCAAGTAGTCAAACAATTAGATGGGGACGTTTTTTTTTGTTGTGTGTGTGGGTGAGAGATCATTTTTGGCAACTTCTGAATGCTTTTTGGACTATCTTTTATTTTTCGTCCAAGTCCCTCGGCATGAGGACACGCCCGACCTGAGCCCAGCCTGGGTAGTCGAAGGCCAGACTGTCAGATTGGGTTGGGCCCCAAGGGCCAATCTGGCCCGGCCAACCTGGATGATTTGGGTTATTCGCCAGACTGGGTTCGCGTTGGCTCCCTCGCCGGATTGCCCCCGTTTGCCAGATTGGGCCTGCCAGATTGGCGCCAGATTGGCTTCGACTACCCAGCCAGCGTCAACGTCCCGAGCTTTTTTATCCGGGCCTCCCGCCCCGCGAAGCAGAGCGACACGCCGACAGCCTGCAGGGCCTGCAGGGCACGGCTTCTGTGGCACGGGCCGCCGCCCCGCCTCGCCGAGCGGCAGCTCCCGGCCGCGGGGTGGCGCGGGGGCGGCTCCTCCAGGGTGGCGCGACTCTGATCTTCCGGGAGCGCTCCAAGGTAGCACCAACATTTTGGAATTTCAGTTCCAGTCGGGGTCTGAGCCAGTCCAGACATGGCAGCGAGTCTGGGGTGGTATCTTTTGCAGCAGCAAGGTTTCGCGTGCGGGCTCTCCTGTTGCAGGTTGGTCCTCTATATATAGTGGCTCTGGGCTTGCTCGGCGCATTTCTTGGGCACCATCGCTCGGAAGGAAGTGCGCTCGTGGGGACACAAAAACGAGGCCGGTGGAAGGGCGGTGGAGGAGGGGTGGTGCGAGGGAAGGGGGGAATGGAGGGGGAGGGAGGGAGAGGGGAGGAGGGAGGAGGAAGGGGGGGAGAAGTGGGGAAGAAGTGGGAGGAGGAGGTAGGGGCAGGAGGGGGGAGCAGGGGGGGGGGGAGGGGAGAGGAGGGGAGAGGGGGCGGGGAGGAGGTTGGCCCGAGGCACCGAGGCCGACCCCGGCTGCCCCGTCGGCGACCGGGGCGGCCTGTTCCCCGACGAGGCCGCCCAGGGCCGCCTCTTCGAGCGCCTGGCCACCGACCCGAGGTACAGGCCCTTCGGCCCGGAGGCCCGTGCGCACTCGATGCATCGCCCCCGCCTGGAGGAGGAGGAGGAGGGCGGAGGAGGAGGGAGGGAGGAGGAGGAGGAGGAGGAGGAGGAGGAGGAGGAGGAGGAGGAGGGGAGGAGAGGACGCGGAGGAGGAGCCCTTCGGCCCCGGAGGCCTGGGTGCCTCTTAATTCCGGGAGGAGGAGGAGGAGGAGGAGGTGGAGGAGGAGCCTGTCGGCGGGGAGGCCTGGGCTCATTTGTGCCAATTCCCCGACCATCACCACCGCCCAGGGGATCATCCTCGGGGTCCCGGCAGACGGTGCATCTGGATGTGTTGCTCCCCTGGGGCCAGACATTACGCATGTCCACCATCCGCTGGGGTTCCAGGACGTCTGTTCCACAGGCGATGGGTATTGATCAATCACCGATCCTTCGCGGGGGGCCCTCGTCGCTACGGCTGGACGCGGCTCGGAGAAGTGGTGCGTTTGGATTCCGGGGGGGTCCGGATACCGATTGTGAGGTGCTCTTGTCTCACTTCGCCACCGAAGGAGCGGGAGGAGGAGGAGGAGGTGGACAGCCCTGCCCTGTTCGATTCCTTCTGAGGTGCGTTTGCGAAAGCCCTGCGCTTGCCGGGGTGCCTATCCTGAGGGTGGCTCGTCTGGCCTTGACATTCAAAAGCAGTCACAGGGCGATTTGCCCTGATAGGCGATTTGTGGCAGCATCTGGCCCAGCAGCGATCTACATCCATCTTTGCGGACTGTTCGGAGGAGGAGGAGGAGAAGGAGGAGGCCGCGGAGAAGGAGGATGAGGAGGAGGCCTTCGGCCCAGAGGCTGGGCCGCCTACTTGCCAAGTCTCCGACGATCAAGGCTTTCCTGCGTGAGCCTTGAGATCCGACGACACAAACAAGTGCAACATCCGGAAAAATTGCGACCATCCTGCAAATAACTGCAAACAACTGCAAACAACCCCATCTTCCTGCGTTATTTTCCTGGCCGGATCGATCTGTGATGGTCTTTGGGCCCGAGACTCAGCGAATTCGCCCGATGTGAAAAGTTGCAACGCCTGGATCTCGGGGCACGCAGGCTTTGAGCGGCATAAGGCCAGAAGGCAGATCCCAGGGCGACCCTGCGCTGCCATGCCAACCCCTGTGGCGTCGATCGGAGGAGCTTGAGCAATAACAGTCATTACTGTGGAAGCGTGGCCAATCTGAAACTCCTGCGTTTCGGATGTTTTCGTCAGGATGTTTGCAGCCTCGGGATGCTTTCCAGCAGCTGCGCCTCGCAGAGAGCGTTCTGGGGGTGCCACAATCATCCCGAACGGCCGCAGGAGGCCCAAGTTATGGTCCGCTGGTCGAAATTCAAAGTTAAGGCGCGACGGTGACATGTTTGTTTCAATCCTGGCGTTTCTCCTCCATGTAGGCCTCTCGGGCCCCGTCATCGGGCTCCTGGGCAGCGACAATTGGATCTGGGATGAATAATTGCCTCTGGGGAGGCGGTTGGTTTTTTTTGAGGCATCGCATCGAAAACATCACATCGTCGGCTGTCCAGGAGGACTCTTGGAGTCATCTTGGGGTCCTCTTGGGGCCCTCTTGACATTCTCTTGGGGCTCTCTCGCGTCCCAGGTAGGGTCCTCTTGGGGCTCTTTTAGGGGGGTCTCGGGGTTCTGTCATGGTGCCCCTTGGAGGTATGTTAGGGCTATTTTGGAGAGCATCGATCAAGAGAGGGTGGGTCTCCAATGTTCTGTATTGAATTCAAAACACGTTTTTTTGTTTTTTTTGTTTTTGTTTTTGTTTTTGAAATGATCGAAGCATTGGGTTTTGAGCGCAACAAGCAAGTTTTTTTTTGGGGGGAATTCCAAAACACGTCAGGCACACCGTCTGAGGCCTTCGAAGTCGCCCCTTGGGGCCCTCTCTGGGGCTTTCGCGGGGCGGTCCGTGGGCCCATCTTTTGGACCCTCCTCGGGAGCCCTCTCTGAGGCGGCCCCCCGAGGACCCCCGGGAAACGCAGGTGCGAGAAGGCGCGCAGCACTGAAAGCAGCAGCTGCGGTGGAGGCCCATGCCAAGAAGCACCCTGCTTGCCTCCAGGGTGCTCCTCCTCCTCCTCCTCCTCCTCCTCCCTCCTTTCTCCTCCCTCCTCCCTCCTCCCTCCTCCCTCCTCCCTCCTCCCCCCTCCCTCCCCTTGGGCTTCGGTGTTTTTTTTGCGATCGTTCCCACGCCAAGACAATCAACGGGACGTCCTGGGGTCTCAGGTTTGGGTTTCTCGTGGAAGGTTTCTCGCGGTCGGGCCCCTGCTGCAGCGTTTTTGAAGGAGCTTGGCCTCTGGGGGGGGCTCCGACAGCACTTGGACCCACCTCGTGGCCCTCTCGGGGGCACGCCAGGCGCTACCCTGCACCATCCTGGGCCACCCAGGGCCGTCTTGGAGCCATCTTGGGCCCCACAGGACCGCCTGACATCTCGAGGCCGCGTCCAGACCCAGGAGAAGGCGTGAGGGGAGGGGTTCAGTCAAGAACTCTTGGATAGCGTGTCGCTCCGCCAGGGCTCTGGCCCACCGCGCTCCGGCGCGACACGCTAGCCACGTCTCGGTCCCCAAGCGTCCACGTGTGTAGAGGATTGGTACCATAGTGTGCATAAGACGGTCGGCTGTCGCCGAGGGTCTGGGGAGCTGTTCGCCCCCGGGTCACGTTCGAGGGCCCCTCGGCTGCTGTGCCTCCATCGGGAAACGAGAAAGGCCTCCAAGCGTCCACGTCCGGAGCCTTTCCGAGCCTCCCGTCCTGCGGAGCGGAGTGATATGCCATCCGCTCGCAAGGCCCAGCGCGCCGCCAGGGCCGCCGCAGCGATGCGACCCGTATAGCAAGGATGGGCAACCCTCCCCAGGGTACCCTTACATCCTTGCCTCCTCGGTCCATCCTCGGCCACTTTCGTTGGCCGCGCCCCGCTCGAAAAGCTTCGAAGCGGCCTTCGAAGGCTCTTGCATCCCTATCGCGCATCCTCATGATACGTGCCGACTGTAGACTACCTGAGCCAAGAGGGCTGGTGGGAACCACGACGTCGTGACGCGAAGCACGGCGGGAGACATCGGCCCCATCTTTGCGAGAGGTGTTCGGGGCCCTAATGGACCCGCGAGGGCGCCTGGTCCAGGCGGGGCGGCAGAGGCGCCCGCCGCGATTGATGCCACGATGCCCCAGACGGGAGGATTGGTTGCCAGCGCCCGCCGGCGAGGTCGTCAGCAGGGACCCGTGGATCATCGTGTTTCACACGCTGCTCTCGGCAGAGGAGTGCGAAGGCCTCAGCGACGGTGACGGCCATGCTGATGACGAGGACCTAGACGAGGACTTAGACGAGGACGGCGACGAGGCTGGCGATGTCGGCGGCGACGACTTCGGCAG